GGTCCCGCGGAGCCATAGCTCTGGTACATTACCCCGTTCGCTGAGGTCTACTCTTTTCTCCAGGTATGTGTGGTCTGACGCCATCCTCTTTCCTGTTGCTCTCTCAGGATTAGTTGTGCCAATTAAATTTTCTAATTGTATCCAGTTTTAGGAGGAAGCCTCTGTTTCTCCTCTCCCGCCGCCATCTTTAATCAAATCCTGGGATTGTCCTTTTTAATGCCTCGTCACCCTCCATGTGCATCTCTCTCTCCCATCTCACTCTCACCACCCAGAAGAACCTGTGGGTCTGATTCCTGGGGTTGACCTGCTGGGCCAAAGGGTGTGTGCTGCTGACTGCCATGGGCACCCAACTGCCCTGAGGGGTGTGCTAACCGTGCCCTTCCAGGGCAAACTCGTCCCAGCCTCTCCCCTGCACGGAGCTTTCAGCCTCCAGGGCCTCAAGTGCCCATATCCGGCCAGTAGCCCCCCTTGGTCTGCTTCTCTTCCAGACTCTGAGCTCCCAGAAGCAGGCGTTCATTCTGGAGGTTCTGTCCGGGTGCCTTGAGTACCACAGGTTGCTGACCACCGTGGTGGACGCCTTCTACGTGCGGGATGGCCGCCTCTGCCTGTGGGCTGACTATAACCTCTTCAAGGGTAGGTGCTGTCCCATCCAGTGAGGCAGGGAGCCATGTGTCCCTGCGGGGCAGGCCTGCCACCCTTATCTCCTGAACAAGGGCCACAGACAGACTCTGAACACAGCAGCAATGATGACCCAATGAAAGTGGCAGCAGGCGAGCAGTCTCCAAGCTCAGCCGGCTCCTGGCGTCTCTGTGGCACCTTTGCTTTCCGGGGGCTAGATCCTCACGACCACCAGGGGTGGGAAACCTGGGCCCTCCCTACAGGAGACTCAGGCCACGCTGCCCTTGACAGGAGCTCCAGCCTCTGAGGGAGCTTGTTTGAGGAGAGTGCCCCTAAGACTGCAGCCTGGGGGAGATGACGAGCCTTCATTCCCGGCTGAGGTCCTGGCCCCAGCCTTGAGGACTCAGGCAGGGTCGGTCTCAAGGCTGCAGTCCGGACCGTCCTCCAAGGGGTTCAATGGGACATGTCTCTGCCTGGCTCCCTGCAGGCCTATGATGGCCATCTGCTCCCAAGGAGTGTGATGGCCACTGCAGGCAGGGTGGCCAGTGCCTCTGGGGTGCGGACCGTCCAGCCCCCAGCCCCTGTCCAGTAGGGGAGGGGCAGGGATGTCAGGGTGCTTACAGACCAAACTGGGCTGCCTGCCACCAGGTCCAGGGCTGGCTCACAGTCGCTGCATCCCCACCACACAGCAGAAGCCACGAGCTCAGCAGCGCATTGCTGGCCGGCTGGCCAGTCGGTGGGACCAGCCATCCTTGCCTCAGAGGACTGGCCCTCTAGGACCTACCCCAGGATGTTCCAGTTTCAGCTGGCTTGACATGGTTGAATCTCTCAGAATTCACAAACCATTTTACGATCCAAAATTATTTTTCTTTTACCCAAAGAACTTCTGGAATTTCTGAGAACTTAGCAAATGAGGTGATATATGTGGAAGTGCTTTGAATGCCACAGGCGCCCACTCGTGGCGGCCACGCCACTGTGCTCGTGTGTCACGCTGTGTTTGTGCATTGGTTCCACACGGAGCCCTTGCCTCTGGCTACACGCCCTGACGGGCCTGGCCGGGGTTGGCTGTGCTTCTGCTGCATCTGCGGCACACCTGTCAGGCGCTAGCCACTGGCTGACTCCCCCAAGATGGAGCCCCAGGGGGCCCGGAGGAGGGGACCCCGATGCCCCTCTGTGCCATATACCCTTGCCCCCACTCGCCCCTGCCCTGTCTCCTTAGTGATCTGCTATTTGGCCACTTTCCAACTGGGGGAGCTTGGCTTTCAGCTTTTCTGTGACATCGTCAAGTCCCAGCCTCTAGACAAGATGTGCAAGGTAAGTTTCCCCCAGCCCCCAGCCCCCCGCAAGTTGCCGTCTTAAGCCCACCGGCAAAGGCCTGTCCATCTGGTGCTGACCTTGCACCCTTCTGGCTCAGTTTAATGAAAGAACGAACTTCTGCCCAGTTCATTCTGTGTTTGGCAAACAGTGCCCTCTCTGCGCTCAGCTGCGTCTGCCTGTCTCCTGGGTTTGACCCTGTTCTCACTGTTAGGGTCGGTGGTGGCTGGATGTCGGCTCCTAGTCCTTTTATTTAATGATGTGCTTTCCTCATACATAAGAACATAAGCAACTCACAATGGATAAATACTTGCAGTTACCTTAAGCAAGGGCTTCACTTTTACAAGAAAGATACATAACCATCTGCATTTTCTGAGGGGTGTTTAGAGACTGACCCAGGCCAGTTCCCCAGGCTCCAAGACCACACCTGGTTTTCGTTCTGCTGTCAGTCTTGAGATTCTTATTAACTGTTGAACAAGGGGCCCACATGTCAGCTTGCACTGGGTCCCACAGGGGCAGAGCTCCAGAGCCTGCAAAGCCTGGAGGGGTGGCATGGGACCCCACCCTGCACACCCAGGGCAGGTGCTCCGCCAGCATGGGTCCTGGACATTTACTTCCCTGGAGCATTCCTGGGAGGAGAGTCATGGAAGCCGCCCACACAAATTCCCAAGGGAGCTGGTGGCTACAAGGGTGGGGTGGCACCCTGTGCAGGGCCTTCCCTTCTCAGCCAGCACCCATACCCAGCTGGGCGATCCTGTCCATTAGGTCTCTAGAGAAGAAGTCAGCCTGGGCCTCAAAGACAGGGAGCAAGCTGCTGGGGACAGGATGGCCTCTCCAGGGACCCCCGAGATCACACCTGGGGCGCTGGCACTGCTGTGGTCAGCAGTGACATGGCAGTGAGCACAGTGCACAGCCTGACTAGCAAGCCGTGCAGACCATGCCGCGTGTGGTTGCATGTGGCCTGTCGCTCTTGGGAGAGTGGCCCTGGGACGGCATGTGGAGGGGGGCAAGCAATCCTGCTGGCTCCAAGGCCCCCGCATATAAATGCTGGAAGCTCCAGATGGCCTCCCAGAACCCCAGCCCCAGCCTGCATGCTCCCTGGTAGGGCTGCCCCTGCTCCCCACCCTCCCCACCCCTCCAGTGAGACCAAAGGCCTCATTTTGGATGGTTGCCCGGCTAGGTCTATGGGTGGGGGCAACAGACCAGCTGAGATGTGGTGAGAGGATGGGGTCTTGGGGCAGAGGGATGTACCCAAATAACAGGGCCCTGGGAGGAGGAGTGGAGAGCCCAGGGCCCAATGGCAGGGACCGACTGCCGCCTTCAGACAGGAAGTGGTAGCAGGGCTGGAAGATGGAGTGGGCGGGAGCAAGGGGCAGGACTGGCTGTGGACAAGGGGCTGAGAAGCCTGTGTGGGGCAGGGAAGGTGGGGAGAGGCCCTGGGACGGGAGGTGAGGTGGTGGGGGCCGTGCCCAAGAGGGAAAGCGTGGCAGGCTCTAGAAGGACACCTGGCAGCTGCAATGTGAAGAAGGGCATGGAGGCAGGAGGCAGAGTGGGAGGTGAGGACACACATGCCAGGGTGGTGGCTGCACTGAGGCCCTGCCCTCATCCACTGCTGCCCCCGACTCAGCAGCTCTGAGTCAGCACAGCTGCAGGGGCCCTGGAGTCACCACCTGTTTGCCCAACATGCAGCTGCCTCCGCCCGACCCAAGAGGGTAGGGAGTCGGCCTTCTCCAGCCCTCTTGGGGCAGTCAGCACAGGCCGAGGAAGGGGGCCAGGGGACGGAGCCCAGGGATCCACTGCAGGGAGCCCTTCACTAACACCAGCTCTCTCCCGTGTGCTGCATGGGCTGCCCCCAGGAAACTACATGCTCCCTAGACCCATGCATGGTTTGGGGTGCATTTTTGTGGACCCAGATGGAAGCACCGTATTTCCTGTGTCCCACAAAGCTAGCTAAACATGGTGCTAGAGTCCCACACAGAATCTACAGCAGCCCTAAGCCCTGGGGCTACCCCTTCCAGCATTTTCTAGGAGCCTGGTTTGAGTGGTCTGCAGTGGTCCCCCTGATGAGACAAGGCCCTTCAAGCTGGGGTGTGGTTTCAGTTTGGTGGATGCTCCCCGCAGAGCAGCCCACCCAGAGGGCCCTATGCATGGGTGCCCCTCATACAGGGCTGGGGACCTAAGCTTCATCCCCCTGTGAAGAAGGCCACCTCCGGGGGCCTCAGTCAGCCCCAGGAGCTGCCATCCCCAGTGTGGAAGTATTCCTCAGCTCCGCAAGGTGGCCTCCACGGGGAGCTGAACTGGTCCTGTGTCTTCTGGAACCAAAGCTGTTCAATGTAAAGGCCAGGAGCTGGAAGACACCTTTAGAAGCCCACAGCCACTGGAAGCCCCTGCCAGGCTGCATCTGGGCTGTTCCAAGGGCCCACCAGGGTCTGCACTGTGGGCACGGCACCCAGCCCTGCCTGGGGAAGACAGCCTCAGCCTCCGCGCCGGGGCCAGCCCCCCACGGCAGGAGCTTAGGGACACGCCACCTCCCTGGGGCCTACCTGCTAGTGTTGCCCTGGGTACAGGGAAACACTACAGAAAATGGTGCAACCCATTTTTGGAATTCTAGGGCCCGTGGGCTGGCAGTGGGGGAGACAGGCAGCTGTCTATCCTTGCCCACCAGCGGCTCTCCGGAGTGGGGTGTGGGCCTTCCAAGTCCTGGGGAGCTGGCCCCAGCACCAGCAGGGACTTGCCTTCCCCACTAGCACGAGTTCCAGGACTGGGGAGGGCTGCCTGAGGGCCCAGATGCCGTGAGCACAAGCCTGGTGGTGGGAAGCAGCTCCCTGGATGGGTGCCGGGACCCTCCTCTGTTCCTCTGTTCCAGCGTGGGGGTCTGACCCCCTTGAGGGTGCGGGGCTCAGCCACGCGGGGTCTGACCGAGACCTTGATGGCCCTGCTTCTCGCCAGTTCCTCAGGTTCTTCTTCAGCCCCCTGAATCTGTCCTCGTGGGTCAAGGACGAGTGGAGCCTCGTCTATGAGGCGGCCTACGTGAAGGAGAACTGGATTGCACCCCTGATGAGGTGGGCCAGGAGGGTCTCTGCAGCCCACTCCCAGAACACTTCTGAGAGCTCCCTCCTTGCTCCAGGACCCTGCAAGGGCTGGTAGCTGCTCCACATTAGGGGTGAGGAGGTTCAGAGAAGCCAGGACCCATGGGAGGAGGAGGCACGGTCCAGGGTCTGACCCAGAGCCTAGGACCACCCCCACAGCAGGTGGCCGGCTAGTGGCCTGCAGGGGCCAAGGGCCAGAGGTGGTTTTTAGGGCCAGACAGGTCAGTGGGTGAGGGCCCATGTGCAGAACAGAGGGTTGTGACAGTGGCCCCAGTCTTGCTGGGCCCCTGCATGGACCCTGTGGGACTCTGGTCCTGACCCCTTTGCAGATCCCAGGAGTGAGGAGGCAGGGTGGGTGGGGCTGGAGCCCACGCAGCCTGCAGCCAGCTCCTGGGGGAGTCAGGCCTCCATCTTTTTCTGGTGCCCCCCAGAGCACCACTCCTGGGCCTGTCACCCCGGAGCCGCCCTGGCTGCCTGTCCTTCCCTGCCTCCTGTGACAGGCAGAGGCCGGTTCTGTGGGTGCAGGCCAGGACCCACAGTGGAGGACCAGCACAGGGCTCAGCCCTGCCCTTGGCCCCTCTGAAGAAGCTGCTAGGGCCCCAGTTACTTCCCTTCACATAGGCCTGGGGGGGCCACCCCATCTTCATGCAGACAGGTAGACTGTTTTTGCACAAGCAGACCACTTAGGGGCCAGCTGTGTGCAGGAGACCTGGAGGCCCAGGGAAGCCCCTCCTGTGGGAGAGGAGGCCTGGCCCAGGCAGGGTGTCCCCAGAGTTGCCCCTTCACCAGAGTCCTCAGTCCAGCCAGGCTGGGTGAGCTGCCCATCCACAGGGCTGTCGTAAGTGGCCTGGGCCTATGGGACCTGAGAACTACCTCTGGGCAGCTGCTCAGCCTGGTCGAGGGTGCCCCATCCCCGCCACCCTGGCCCCGCCTACAGACATCCCTTGTCTGCCCTGTGCTGCCCTTCCTGAGACCCCACTCCCTGTTGGCTCTCAGACATGCCCTTCCTCCCTATGGTGGCCATGACCCTCAAGTGGGGCCAGGAATGATTCGGACCATGCTCTCTGCCCCAGGGGACCTCCACAGGAGGGGACACTGGCCAGGATGGTGATGGTGGGCTGTGCCCGCATGGGGTAGGGGCATGAAAGGGGGGCCTGACCCCTCCCAAACCCTGCTCAGGACACCCCCACCCCGAGGCTCTGCTCCTGCCCACCCCTCTCCTGCAGCGCCCTTCCACCTGCTGCCAATGGTGAGACCCAAGAAGGGGCCTTTGTGAATCACCAGCCTCCTTCCCCTAAGCTATCTGCTCAGGCCCAGCTTCGCTCTGCTCATCAGAGGCCCCTGGGTTCCTGCAGCGCATTCTCGGTCCTCCCGACTCCCGCCCACCAGCGTGGCCGAGGACAGTGATGTCTCTGGACCTTCTTCCTTGTCTATCCTGGGGGGCACCTGCCTGTGCGGCTCCAGGGTGTGGCTGGCACTGTGCCTGTGCAGCAGTGGGCACTCAGTGAAGAGTGGCTGTTGGTTCCGTTGTCAGCCCTACCCTCATGTAGACCCAAGCACTTGGGCATCCTTGGATCCCAAGGGCTGTGCCTTAAACAGCTGCTCCCACCTTTGCCTTCAAGATGGCAGCCGGAGGTCCAGGAGCTGATCAAACAGCTGGAGGCGGTGCTGGCCAATCAATCCCCCCTTTTAAAGACCAAGGCTAAGGTCACAGAGCCCAAGGAGTTCAACCTGACCACCCCTAGATCCCGTGCCATTCCCATGCCAGAGCCGGTTCCTGCCGTGGCCAAGCCAAGACCAGTAAGTGAGGTGTCTGCACTGGGCACAGGCTGCCAGGCTGGGAGAGTGGACCATGCGGGCCAGTGGGGCTGGGTCCGTCCCACGACTGAGTGTGCCCTGGACCAGGCCAGGAGCGTCCCAGGCCCCTGCCTCTTTGTGCGGAGCCCAGCCGAGCCTGCGCTGGCCTTCCACATGCTGAGGCTGGTCAGCAGGTGCCCTGTGAAGCTGTGGGGCCACACCACTCGGACCCATCTGGACTTGGCACTTGGAGGCCCCTTTCAACCCTATGGCACTGAGGACCACCCCCACAGCAGGTGGCCGGCTAGTGGCCTGCAGGGGCCAAGGGCCAGAGGTGGTTTTTAGGGCCAGACAGGTCAGTGGGTGAGGGCCCATGTGCAGAACAGAGGGTTGTGACAGTGGCCCCAGTCTTGCTGGGCCCCTGCATGGACCCTGTGGGACTCTGGTCCTGACCTCTTTGCAGATCCCAGGAGTGAGGAGGCAGGGTGGGTGGGGCTGGAGCCCACGCAGCCTGCAGCCAGCTCCTGGGGGAGTCAGGCCTCCATCTTTTTCTGGTGCCCCCCAGAGCACCACTCCTGGGCCTGTCACCCCGGAGCCGCCCTGGCTGCCTGTCCTTCCCTGCCTCCTGTGACAGGCAGAGGCCGGTTCTGTGGGTGCAGGCCAGGACCCACAGTGGAGGACCAGCACAGGGCTCAGCCCTGCCCTTGGCCCCTCTGAAGAAGCTGCTAGGGCCCCAGTTACTTCCCTTCACATAGGCCTGGGGGGGCCACCCCATCTTCATGCAGACAGGTAGACTGTTTTTGCACAAGCAGACCACTTAGGGGCCAGCTGTGTGCAGGAGACCTGGAGGCCCAGGGAAGCCCCTCCTGTGGGAGAGGAGGCCTGGCCCAGGCAGGGTGTCCCCAGAGTTGCCCCTTCACCAGAGTCCTCAGTCCAGCCAGGCTGGGTGAGCTGCCCATCCACAGGGCTGTCGTAAGTGGCCCGGGCCTATGGGACCTGAGAACTACCTCTGGGCAGCTGCTCAGCCTGGTCGAGGGTGCCCCATCCCCGCCACCCTGGCCCCGCCTACAGACATCCCTTGTCTGCCCTGTGCTGCCCTTCCTGAGACCCCACTCCCTGTTGGCTCTCAGACATGCCCTTCCTCCCTATGGTGGCCATGACCCTCAAGTGGGGCCAGGAATGATTCGGACCATGCTCTCTGCCCCAGGGGACCTCCACAGGAGGGGACACTGGCCAGGATGGTGATGGTGGGCTGTGCCCGCATGGGGTAGGGGCATGAAAGGGGGGCCTGACCCCTCCCAAACCCTGCTCAGGACACCCCCACCCCGAGGCTCTGCTCCTGCCCACCCCTCTCCTGCAGCGCCCTTCCACCTGCTGCCAATGGTGAGACCCAAGAAGGGGCCTTTGTGAATCACCAGCCTCCTTCCCCTAAGCTATCTGCTCAGGCCCAGCTTCGCTCTGCTCATCAGAGGCCCCTGGGTTCCTGCAGCGCATTCTCGGTCCTCCCGACTCCCGCCCACCAGCGTGGCCGAGGACAGTGATGTCTCTGGACCTTCTTCCTTGTCTATCCTGGGGGGCACCTGCCTGTGCGGCTCCAGGGTGTGGCTGGCACTGTGCCTGTGCAGCAGTGGGCACTCAGTGAAGAGTGGCTGTTGGTTCCGTTGTCAGCCCTACCCTCATGTAGACCCAAGCACTTGGGCATCCTTGGATCCCAAGGGCTGTGCCTTAAACAGCTGCTCCCACCTTTGCCTTCAAGATGGCAGCCGGAGGTCCAGGAGCTGATCAAACAGCTGGAGGCGGTGCTGGCCAATCAATCCCCCCTTTTAAAGACCAAGGCTAAGGTCACAGAGCCCAAGGAGTTCAACCTGACCACCCCCAGATCCCGTGCCATTCCCATGCCAGAGCCGGTTCCTGCCGTGGCCAAGCCAAGACCAGTAAGTGAGGTGTCTGCACTGGGCACAGGCTGCCAGGCTGGGAGAGTGGACCATGCGGGCCAGTGGGGCTGGGTCCGTCCCATGACTGAGTGTGCCCTGGACCAGGCCAGGAGCGTCCCAGGCCCCTGCCTCTTTGTGCGGAGCCCAGCCGAGCCTGCGCTGGCCTTCCACATGCTGAGGCTGGTCAGCAGGTGCCCTGTGAAGCTGTGGGGCCACACCACTCGGACCCATCTGGACTTGGCACTTGGAGGCCCCTTTCAACCCTATGGCACTGTCCTGCATATTTGGGTCACAGTCTACTTTCCCACACCCTTCAGACCATGGGCAGGCGATAATGCCTGTCTGTGTGTCCCCGCCTTAGGGCCTCTTCCTCTCCCTTCTTCCTCCCTGCCTTGCTGACCTGACTTCTCCAGATCAGCCAGAGTGCTACGGAGAGCAGACCAAAGAAAAAAGCAGCTCCATCTGCTTTAGACCGTAGAGAACTGGCTGACCATCACGGCTGAAGTAGGAAAGGCTTCAGCCATGGTTTGATCAGGATTCCAGCTATACTTCTCTGTAACTCTCTATCCTTGTCTCCTCTCCATGTCACTTTTTATTTTGGACAAATGTCCCTCATTGCAACAAAACAACCATGCCTCACCCACACTCTATGCCATCTGGGGCACGAGAGGATATCTAGGGCCAAGAATTCTGTGAAGGTGTGATTAGACCAGCTTAGGTGGCATGCCCACCTAGAGCTGATGGCAGGGGTGCAGTGCTCTGACTGGTCCCGGGCTCTTCCCCAAGCAGCTGTGGGGGACTCAGTTTCCCAGAACCAGTGTGGTTTGCCAACAGGATGAAGGGCTGAACAGAGGGTGCAGTGATGTTGCTGGGGGCCAGGGCTGCAGCCTGCCTCCGCCAGCCTCGGGTCTCATCTCATTGCCTTCCCAGAGGACTTCCCATGAGGCCCTCACTGAATTCTCCTTGCCAACCCCTGCTCCTTTTCTTGTAGCATCGGTCAGAGTTCATAGCTGCCTCGTGGTTTCCGGGCCTGTCTGTTTTACCGTAGCTCATCCATCCTATCTGTGCCATATCCCCTAGTGCCTGGCACAGCCCTGGTTCAGGGCAGACCATCAATGAATACCTGACAGATGGGCGGATGGATGGATGGATGATCAGAGGCCTTGCTGCTGAGCATCCCACAGCTGCCCCTCTGTAAGGCCCGAGCATTTCTGACCCCAGCTCCTCAGGGCTCAGTGTGCTGACCTCAGGTCATCCTGCCAGTTGCATCTCCCTCCCTTTCTGCCTGGCACCCCTCCTGGCACCATGCCCTGCCCTGCCCCATAGCTAAGTTTCTCTCAGCATAAGCTATGAGACAGTGGTGAACAGTCACCTCCCTTGGGGCCTGCAGGTGGCTGTGCTAGAACCACAGGCTTGTTCCCTCCACCCTGTCTGCCCAGAACTCTCTGCCCCCTGGGTTTAGGGCCCACCCCAATTTGCTCATTCAACAAAGACTTAGGGAATGCCTGGTACATGCCAAGCACTGTGCCTTTGTGGAGTGTGAATTCTGTCGTGGGGCTCACATATTAAACAGGATAAGTCAAATGGATGGGTTATTAGTTGATGATAAGTGCTGAGGAGAAAAGATAATTCAGGGAAAAGGGACTAGAGTTGGAGGGCTTGCAGTTCTGGATTGTGCAGCCAGGACAGGCCTCCTGAGATGCCAGGGGTGAAGAACTGGAAATAGAAAGCATGTGAACTGTTTGCTTTGTCTGGGAGAGAGCATTCCAGATGACAAAGCATGTGCAAAGGCCCTGGGGCCTTACCTTCCCTCCCACAAGTGCTTAAGGGCACCAGGGGGGAAGGGAAGAGAGGAGGAGGGGAAGGGGGTGCTGAGGGAGAAGAGCAATGGGACACAACCTGAACCCGGTGGCGGAGCACAGCGTGAGAGGGTTTATGGAGACACCATGACACCGGTGGGCAGGATTTGAGATGGATGCTGAACTGAGAAAGAGGTGCTGACGAGGGAGCCAAGAGGACTCTGAGGTCTCCATCTGGGCCAGGAATGGACAGCAATTGGAGTTGGCGGGTGGAGGTAGCAGTGTTTGGGGGAAGATGTGGGTTTCAGGTTTGGATGTGATGAGTTTCTGATGCTCCTTAGATGTTCAGGGGGGAGTGCATGGAGTCAGGAGTCTGAAGGTTGAGGGTTTCTTGGGCAGCTCTGCCCCCTCCCCAAGGACACTGTGTCCTCCAGATCCCAGGGGTCCCGAGACTGGGCCCCATGGACACTCCTCAGGCCGCCTGATCTCTGCAGTATTAATGTTGCAGCCCCCCTTCACTGACGCTCAATTCCTTGGCCCCAGCCTTCTCCCTCAGTCTCTACCCACCAGTTGCCCTCTGTGGGTACCCCTAGTGTCCGGTGGGCCTGAGCTGTGCTTGACCACCTTTCTTCCTGCTGCTGGCCTGGTGTCCTTCCCTGCCAGCAGCCAGCGGGCTGGGTCAGAGTGCAGAGCCTGCTTTTCAGCCCTGCTTCTGGCCCGGCTCCCCGGCCCACCCTCCCCGCACCTCCCTCCAGGCAGCAGCTTCTGACCATGGATTCCCCTCGTGCCCACCAGGTCCCCAGGAGCACCTACCAACAGCCCAAGGAGCAGCACCTGCTGGACAAGACCAAGAGACATAATCGCCGGAGGGCAGAGGTGGGGAGCGTGCGGCCCTGCCCTCCCAGAGGCCCTGCCGGGCGGGCGCGCGGGGTGGGGCGGAGGTGGGGCGGGAGCTGGTCCGTGGCTGGCCGGGCGCCTGCGGGGCCAGAGCCGCCGTTGCTGCCGCAGGAGCTGCTGCTGAGAGCCAACGTGGAGGAGATGCAGTGCGCAGTGCCCAGGTCCCGCAGGGAGCCCCCCACGCAGGTACCGCCCAGCCCTCCGCGCCCCGGGGCGTTTGCTCACCGCACAGGAGGGGTCCTCCCTATGCCACGCCAGCCACGGCACGATGAGCCACTTCTTTAAGCTTTTCTGTCTCGGGCCATGAAGAGGCAGGCTCCCAGGGCTCCCCAGCCAGGCTGGGTGCAGCCCACGTGGGCAGCCACAGACGTGCCTCCAAGACCACGGGGTAGTTGCACTCTGGGCATTTCTGGATTTTCCATACCGAGCACTTAGGATTTATACAAGAAAAAAAAAAAGCCCAAGGTAAGTTTGTCAATAAAGAGAAAGTCAAAGGGCGAGACCAGCAAGGATGAGGTGGCCCTCAGGCAGGTAAAGCAGGGTGGGAAGTGGGCACCCAGCAGAGCAGAGCACTTTGTGGGGAGCAGGGGGCTTTTGCAGCTGCTTGCCCACCATGACTGTGGTGCCCGCCTGGGGGTGTCTGCAGAGCAGCAGTAGGCTGGGCCAGGAGCAGAGAGACTCAGGGAGCAGCCCAGGAAGGCGGCCAGTCCCTGGAGCAGCTGACAGCTGAGCTCAGGACCCCCAACAGGGAGCCGCAGTCCCCAGGCCCTGCACCTTCCCTACCTCTGTCTGGGTGGCCCAGCACCCCCACAAGGCCCAGGAAGCCTGTGGAGGGCAGGGGAGCTGCCCTGTGGGGTTGTGGGCAGGGTTGGGCTGGGGCAGAACACATGGGTGAGCAGCTGGAGCCAGGACAGAGGGGACTGTTCTGGGCCACCCAGGGGCGCTGGGCCCATTATTCAACCAAGGTGTGTTTGGGGGCACCTACAGGGCACAGGTGCCAGTCCCCGACTCCTGCAGGGCTCCAAGAAAAACCTTCAGCTCCGATTCATGCCCCGAATCCTCAAGACTCCAAAGCTGACCTTCTACAGGGTGAGGGGTGTTCCTGAGCAGTCAGGGTGGGCCAGGGTGCCGGTTCCAAGCCTCCTACCCTGGGCACCTGCCTCCTGGCCTGTTCTGCCCTGGGGGTCCCAGATGGCCAGAGCTGGAGCCCTGAGGACGGCCCACCCTAAGGGCAGAGGGCCGGAGGGCAGGTGTGAAGAGCAGCGGGAACTTGCTGCCCCTTAGGGCCCCGCACCCCAGGCCACAGCCTCCTTTCTCCAACAGCCTAATAACATCCCCGTCAAGCTGAATACGGCTGCCATCCTGAGAGAAGGGGCCTTATACCAGCGGCAGGTGGAGAGAGAGCTGCAGAGGTGAGAGGCAGCAGTTCCCAGGTCCCTCCGGAGGAGGGGGTGCAGGAGAGGAGGTTGACAGGCAGAACATGAGGGGGGTACCTGACACTGTGGTCCTGGGGGGACAGGAGTGCCTCGAGCAGGCTGGTGTGAGGGTTGCAGTGGCAGCCTGGAAGACAATCCCAGTGAGGGAGGGGACTGGTAGGAGGTGGTGTAGCAAAACCTGGCCTACCCCAAACCTCCCTCGGGCTACAGACTCCAGTGCTCACCCCATGAGTTGGGCGGTGGGTAGGAGTTTGGGTGGCTGATCAGATGAGAAGATGGACAGAGAGTTGGCCAAGGGGCAGCCAGGTAAGTAGACAGACCAGTGGAAAATGCAGTGGGAAGAAGGGTAGATGCATAGGATGGGGACGGGTGGACAGTAGGTGAGTAGGCGTTGGGTGAACAGCAGCCCTCGCCTGTGAGGGCTTCCACCCCAGTGGCCTCCCGGTAGCCAGTGTCAGCCCTGGTTGCAGGAGGAACTCAAGGCCTGCTCTTTCTCTCTCCCGCAGAGTGGATAGGCTTGTGGACGGGGCCGGGGACTTCTCTGAGTTCCTCGAGTGGCAGAAGAAGATGCAGGCAAAGGACCGGGAGGAGCAGCTGGCAGCAGGCGAGTGCCGGAGGCTCCTGGGGAAGCTCAGCCACGAGGAGGCCGCGCTGGCCCGGCAGCACCTCGTGCGGGGGAACAAGCAGAAGGCCGACCAGAAGAAGGAGGAGGTGACGTGCTCGCGGGGGCGGCTGGGGCTGGGGCCAGCCACGAGCCTGGCTGCTCCCGGGGTCACTGGCTGGTATGCTGACCCCAGGTCATTCCCTCCTAAGACCCATGGAGTGGCCATGACTTCTCTGTCTCCACCTCGACAGGCGGGGGTCCCAGAGGCATTTTGGATCAGCTGGCCAGGGTGGACTGTCTGGCCCAGACGGCCCCTGCCCCCACCAGCAGGGTTGTTTGGGCCATACATCCACACATGAAGACCAGTGGTTCTGGTAGAAACTTCTGGAAGGCCATGTTTGCCATGGTGTCCTCTCCCATAGGCCTCTGGGGGCCTGGCTGAGGGGAAGCCCATGGTCCCCCAGGCTCCTCAGGGGGACGCAGCTGAGAGCTGCTGCAGGAAGCCCCAAGGTCCCTGGGCTCCATCTGACAGACTTGTTCTGGTCTGTTCGTTCTTAATATCAGGACTTGCCTTTCCTTCTTTTGTAGTTTACTTTTTAAAAAATAGAAGCCAAAATAGACTCAGAGAAGTTTCACTTCTTCTAAGTCTTTAAAAGCCCATTTCCACCTACCTGTCTGGGGCCTAATTATTTTCATTACTTTCTGGATTATCTTTTCTATCTTTCCTTCTCAGCAAATGATATACCTGTTTATACAGCACTTCTGACTCCGTTTCTTACGTGAAGTATCCCTCCTTGCCTGACCCGCGGTGCGCACACGGTGTCCCTGTCTATGGGGGAGAACCTCCAGAGGACACTGCCAGGGAGAGAGCAGCCGAGTGCGCAGGGTGGGTGCTCCCCCCCCAGTCGTCTGGGGCCCAAGGCTCTCCTAGAGATGCCACGTCATCTACCATGGGGCTGGCCCATCTTCCCTCCCCCAGCGGCTGGAGGGGCTGGATCCCCATGACCCACCGGCAAAGAGAACTGTCTAAACTCAGGAACTAGCTTCCATCTCATAGGTGAGAAATGCTATCTCGGTGTAGTTCTGACTTGCATTTCATTTAATACGTGTGAGCTTACACCCTTGGCCGGCAGCTCCCCATGTCCCCTCCCCCAGCCCCTGGCTACCACCATCCCACTCTACTTCCACAGATTTGACTGTTGGACTCACTCAGGATTCGACTTTCTGAGTCTGGCTGATTTCTCCCAGCATAATGTCCTCCAGGTTCATCTATGGGGCCACAAAGGCAGGATTTCCTTCCTTTTTAAGGCTAAATAGTATTCCATTGTATATGTGTGCCATAATTCATCAGTCACTGGGCACTTAGGTTGTTTCCATGTCTCGGCTACTATCAATTATTCTGTGATAAACATGGGAGTGCTGACAGTTCTTCAAAATAGAGATTTTTATTTCCTTTGAATATATGCCCAGAAGTGGGATCACTGGATCATATGGCAGTTCTATTTTTAATTTCATGAGGACAGATTTAAAAACCTGCTTTCCACAATGGCTGTACCAATTTCCCTGCCCACCAATAGTGTACAAGGGCTCCCCATTATCCGCATCCTCACCAACACCGATCTTCCGACTTTCTTATGACAGCCATCCTCACATGCGAGGTGCAGGGCACTGCGGCTTTGACTTGCATCTCCCTGACAGTCAGTGATGTGGAGCGCCGTCTCATGTGCCTGTCAGCCTTCGTGTGTCTTCTTTGGAGAAGTGTCTGTTCAGGTCCTTTGTCCATTTTTCAGTCAGGTTATCTGGGTATTTTTGTTATAGCATATTTTGGATATTAACCTCTTATCATGTATCTGGTTTGCAGTATTTTCTCCCACTCCGTAGGTTGCCTTTTCATCTTGTGAATTGGTTCCTCTGCTCTGTAGAAGCTGTAGTCAGACACAAGTCTGCTTTGTGTCTTTGTTGCCTGTACTTTTGATGTCATATCCAAAAAAAATTATTGCTAAGACCAGTGTCAAAGAGCTTTTCCCCTATGTTTTCTTCTAGGAGTTTTATGGTTTCAGGTCCTATGTTAAAGTCTTTAACCCACTTTAAGTTTATTTTTGTGTCCTGTGTAAGATAAGGGTCCAACTTCATTCTTTTCATGTGGACATCCAGTTTTTCCAACATCATTTGTTGAAGAGACTATTCTTTCCCCTTTGAGTTTTCTTGGGGTCTTTGTCAAAGATTAGTTACCAAGGCCTTTTTCTACTGGGCTTTTAACTTGTTTTCTTTGATTTTTAAGAGTTGTTTAAATATTAGAGAAAGCAACCTTTATCTATGATATATTGTTGCAGACATTTTCCTCCAATTTATCGTTTGGCTTTGCTTATGATGTCTTTTGCCATGCACACATGATTGTTATGTCATCACCAATGAATCTTTTAATTAACTGTGTTTGGATTTTGAATAGTGAGAAAGATTTTTTCCCATACCCATGCTATAGAGGAATTCACTCATGTTTTCTTCTAGTATTTATAGGGCTTCATTTTTACATCTTGAAGATTCTTGCTCCTGGTTTGAGATCTGAGAACTTGCAATTCGCGAATGCAGTGTTTCTCTTCATTTATTTAAATCTTTTATTTATTTAATCTGTGTCATATAGTTTTCAGCTAAATTTCTGTACTGTTAGATTTGTTCCTAAGTATTTCTTCTATTGTTTTTGAGTAATTGTAAATGGCATTGTACTTGTAATTTTGGTGTCCGTGGGTTCATTGAATATATTAAAATGCGATTGATGTTGGTGTGTTGACCTTGTATCCTGTGACCTTGTCAAACTTCCTTATTATTTTTCTAGGACAAACACGGGAGTTTTATTGTAGATTCCTTGGCATTTTCTATGTAGACAATCATGTCGTCTGTAAAGAAGAATAGTTTTATCTCTTTCTTTCTCATCTTCCTCCTTCCTTCCTCTTCTGCAATGCACTGGCTAGAACCTCCAGCACCACGCTGAATAAGAGCGAGAGCGGACAGTCATGCCTAGTTCAGGGTCCTAGGGAGAAATCAGTCTTTCACTATTAAGAAAAATGTTGAATGTAGGCTTTTTGTAGATGTACTCTTTATCAAATTGATGAAGTTCCCCTCCTTCCTATTTTCTGAGGTTTTTTTATCGCAAAAAGGTGTTGAATTCTCCCAAATGCTTTTCTGCATCAATTGATATGATCATGTGGCTTTTCTTCTTTAGCCTGTTAATGTGGTAGATCACCCTGAGAGATTTTCAAATATTAAACCAGGTTGGCATTGCTACAGCAAATCCCACTTGGTTATGCTGTGTAATTCTTTTTATATATGCTGATTCTACTCGCTAATCTTTTAATTTTGTTTGAGTTTTTCTGCATATAGTTTCATAAGGGATATTGCTCTATAGTTTTTGTGGGTTTTTTTGTACTGTCTTTGGTATCAGGATAATATTAGCTTCATAACATGAATTTGGAAGTATTCTCTTTTTTTATTTTCTGGGAGAGAGAGTGTAGAATTGATATTAATTCTTTAAACATTTAGTGGAATTCTCTAGAGAAATCATCCAAGCCTGGTGATTTCTTTTTTGGAAGCTTTTAAGTTACAAATTGAGTTTCCTTAAAAATTGTAGGGCTATTCAAATGATCGGTTTCACAGTGGGTGAACTGTGGTAGTTTGTGTTTTAAGGAATTTTACTAAGTTGTCAAATTTATGCATTTAGTTTTGTTTGTAACATTCTGTTACCACACCCTTTATGTCTATAGGCTCTGTAGTGATATAACCTGTTTCAATTTTTATATTACTGTTTGTGTCTCTTTATTTTTGTTCTATAAGTCTTGCTAGAGATTTGTCCATTTCATAAGTCTTAGCTTTTTGTTTCATTGATTTTCCTATTGTTTTGCTGTTTTCAATGTCATCGATGTGTTCTCTTTGTCATTTCCTTCCTTCTGCTTGCTTTGAGTTCATTTTATTATTTATTCACCACCAAGGATCAAGGCCACCCAGGAACAGTGTGGGGAAAGGCACCCTGTAAGAGCACCGTAGCCCAGCCCCCTCGGGCACTCTGCCAGTGAGTCCCTTGGCCTCGTGATGGACTGTCCTCATGACTAGGCTGCCTGAGGGCAGTGCCTCAAGCCCAGTCTGTGGCTCTCAAAGTCCAGCTGACGCTGACTGGGCCTTCCTTTATAAGCTTAGAGAATTCTTTCCCTGTCCTGGAATGCCAGCTATATGCATTTAGATGACTAACACATTTTATAAATATAATCAGATTAGATGGCAGTAAATATTTGAAGACAAAAGGGATTTTAATTTTTCTTGTGCAGTTCATGTGATGACTGATGACTCTTGCAGCCTTGCAATCTTAAGGGCCAGGGTTAGGGTTAGGGCTGTGCTTCATGAAGTGTAAATTTGGTGTCGGCCAGAGGCCCTGTTGCTACAGCCTGGCCCGTGGGAGCCCGCCTCCCCTGCTCTGCTGCCCCTCTCTGGCGCCTGTGGAGATGTTTGCTTTTGAGAGGCAAGATGTTCTGGGCCCACCTAAATTTCCTCTGCTTGAGACATAGACTGGTTATTCTCCCAAGCCCAGGACCCTCATTGCAGAGACCAGTACTGATTTCCAGGGCTGGGGCCGCGGAGAAGGAGCATTTCTGTTTTTCCAGGGTGACCCGTATTAAGGCACTCTAGCAACAGGGCTGGGAAAGGATATAATTTTTAAATCATGAGTATGGCTCTCACATCACCTTATAATAAGTGACTTGAATGTATTTTTTTCACTTAAATAATGTTATCCCCTTTTAAAGTAATTTGATGAACCATATAAGTAAGTAGGTATATTGATCAAATGGTTAAAGTAATAACAAAATTACTTACTTTTAAAAAATCACAGTGAGATCAATCCAGAATAGCGATACCAATATCAAGAAATCCCCTGGGTGAGCAGCATTTCACATTCTGGTTGTCCTGGGTGACCATTCTCTGAGTGCATTTCACCAAAGTGTTCAACTAGATTGTTCAGCCTGGAAGCCCCACAGCGTTTTCCCGTTTGTCTTTGCCCCATGGACCCTGTCCAGTGATGAACATGTTTGCTTGAATTCGTCCACAGTGGGGCCCAAGGGCCCGTGGACAGCGCTCCCCACTCTCCAAACTACACGCAGCTAGGAGGGACGCAGGATGCCAAGTCCTGTCCCACTTGGTGCCAGGGCAGTGCGGCCCTGGTCCACGAGGCCTTGCGGGAGAAAGAGGGGTCTGTGAAAAACCCAGCTGGACCTGTGGTGTGGGCCCAGGCGCACTGGCCAGCATGGAGCCGGGGTTTGCTCCAGGCAGAGCTGGGGGGCCTTGCACCCCAGTGCCTCCCTGAGCCCAATCCTGAAACTGAATGCCGGCGCTTGGGTCACCCTCTGAGCCCGGATGCCAGCGCCACTCCTGCCACCTGCAGCTGGTGGCCACAGTCCCCAGGTCATGTGGGCAGCCTGCCGAGAGCGAGACACACTGTGGCACCAACATGTCTGGGCTGAGAGCACTGTCCTCGGAGTCCCAGCGCCCAGCTCACCTGCTTGCAGGGAACCCTCTGTGTTTGGGGGCACTTTTTCTCATCTCGCATTTCCACACAAGCATTTCTCTAACTTACTATATAGTTTTCTAAAGTACTTCTTAGGATAAACCTTTTATTTTCGGACGGTTTTTTAAGAGTGAGAGAAAAGTTACACAGGTGGCAGAGAGGGCCATGTGCTCCCCAGCCAGCTTCCTCTGTGGTGACATCTCATGCCCCACACAGGCCTCTGGGGCCAACCCAGCAAAAACACAGCCCAGCACGGACATCTCCATCACGAGGCTGCCCAGCCATGGATGGCCCTTGGGTGTCGCCTCAGATGCCTCTTGACTGAGACGGCTCTCTGGGACTTTCCTGGCTTCTGGTGACCTCCACTGTGGGGAGGAGGGCCGGCAGGCACCCTGCAGACGCCCTCTGCTGGGGTGTGTCTGGCCTCCCGACCAGGCTGGGGTGGCGTGGGGAGGAAGACCCCAGCAGCAGGGTGCCCGCGCCACCACGACCTGTCAAGGGCACACGCTGCCAATGGACGTTCTGCTGTTGATGGTGACCTTGGTCTCCTGGCCGAGGTCGTGCCTTCCAGCTTCCTCCTCTGCTCTTGTCCCCCTCTCTGTACTGTCCCCTTTGGAGGGCCGCCTCTGGGCGGAGCCCACACTCAGGGAGGCAGGCAGTTACTGGGAATTCTCCTGCCTGGGAGACTGGTCTCTTTGTCCTAGTCATTTGTCCAGTCACTGATCTACATCGCGTGGACGCACGCACGTTTGTTGTGCCCTTTGTGCCGTTGCTTACTTTCTTGGGAGCTCTTTCAGGTCAGTGCCTGTGTCCTCTGTCATGCCCTCTACCCGTTTGTTTTTTGAGCACTTCCTTACTTGGTGGCACTATAAAACACTCCCGGTCTCCTTGGGTCTTCCCTGCCCCAGCCAGGAGCCTGGTTCCTTTTCTTAGAACCTGGAATGAAATTGTACAGCATCAAAAGGGATGGTCAAGAACCATTATTGATCCATGCCAGCAAATTGTTTTACAAAAGGATTACTTCCTGCCTAGGCTCTAAACCTGGAGTCCAACCTGCCTGCAGGCTGATTCTCAACATGACATGCATTTCAACATGAGCTCTCAGTTGCCAAGACTTTGGGCTGAGAGTCCAATCGCTCTCTGTCAGCGCTGGGCCCATTACAGGGCGTCTAAATCTCATGCTGTCCTTTGTAATATCTTGAGAACTGAAAATATTATTCAGAATTGTTCACAATCACACCAAACTGGAAATAATCTGAATGTCCATCAACAGTAGAACAAATCAAAGGGTTGTGATAGTTTCCCTAAAACATACAGTCACAAAAAATAAGCCCGCTACAATCCAGGCAAGTAACTCGAACGTGGCTAAGAAATGCAGTGCTGGGAAGATTGGACGAGGCACAGAGGGACACTCTATACCAGTCCAGTTGCAGAGCCACATCCTGCTGTTTAGGGCTTCACACTTCTGAGGCACCATGAGAAGAGTGTGGGATGACCACCAGGATATGCCTGGGAGCCATGTGACAGGGAGCCTGGGCTTCCCGGGGGCTGGCATGTCCTGTGTGTGGATCCAGGCAGGATCTGAACACCCAGCTCCACGTGACTTCAAAGTAATGAGTGCCCTTACCTCTTAACTGGAGTCCAGGGTGGGTGGGCTTCCAGGCAAACCCAGGAGCCCTGATGAGGTTTCTCCAGGACCCCACTGGCTGCGTTCCCCAGCCTCATCACCAGCTCTAGGTAGGTGGTTGCATAATTCTGGGCTCACAACCCCATGACCACAGTGGAGGAAGCAGGGGGTGTGAAACGCAACTTCTCCAGTGGGTCCGACCTCCAGGGGCCACCAGGACCTGATGAGCTTAGATCTAGGCTGCAGGGGCATTCAGAGTCTGCTCCCAGAGCTAGTGCAGGACGGGGGCACAGGCCTGCTCCAGGGGCCCCTCCAGCAATGAGCATGCGGGTCGGGTGTCTGAGCAGATGACTGAGCTGATGCAGCAGTGTGCTGAGAGGCGCCTGCAGGAGGAAAGGTCCATGAGGGAGCTGGTGGAGCAGGTGACAGAGGCACAGAAGAACGTCAAGGTGGCGCAGACAAGGCTCTTGAAAGGCCGCCAGCAGATAGGTATGGCAGGGGCTGTGTGTCACAAGGCAATGCCCACTCCATTCCCCCCACCTCAGACTGCAGGCTGGCATCCTGCCTAGGGTGAGCCTCTATGGTCTGGGAAGGCCAGGGTGCCCTTGAGAGAAGGCTGGAGTTGGACAGGCTCTCCCAGGGGGAGGTACCCACTGTCCACCACCTGTGGGACCACTCTCAGACCCCTTCAGCACCCAACTTGGCCCCTAAGTTCAGGAGGTGATAGAGGAAAGTCGGGAGCTACTGCAGCGCAGTGCAGAGGCAGCCAAGGAGGAGCAGAGACGGCGCTGTGAGCTCATCTCCCAGCTTCGAGCCCTGGAGACACAGCCCATGCGCAAGGGCAAACTCGTGGACCTGACCCAGGTGAGGACACAGCTCCCTGGAGCCCACGCCCCGTCCAGCAATGTCCTGGCACCACCATGGGAAGCATGTCCACAGTTTCCACCAAGACCAGAGGAGGTCTCACCCCAGGCCGTAGTCTGCCTGGCTGCCCATGCCGCACTGTGGGCCCCGCACCTGTGTGCTGGAGGCCTGGGTCTGGCCCACAGTTTCATAGCTGCAGAGAGATCTCTGTAAACCCTGGGGGACAGGGCCCCTGGGGGTGGGCAAGGTAGGCTTCATGAAGCTGCATGTTGAGGGAGGTCCTGGGACTCCCCCAGCCCTGTGGGAAGGAAAGCCCACAGCTAGGTGGGCAGAAGGCTGAGAGGGCCCCAGTGCCTGGAAACCTGTACGAGGAGCACCAGGAGGGGCCAGGCAGGCACCTGGTGAGGTGGGGAGCAGGCCTGGGAGAGCCATGGAAGTGGGCCTGGTGGCCTGGCCTGGTCACGGGGGCTGGGGGTGGTCCAGAAGGCTCTCTGCCCAAGCACCCAGGTCCTGGCTTGGAGAGACAGTGCTGGCTTGGTGAGCATCACTGGGGCCCTGTCAGCGGAGGAGCCTACAGGGCACCCAGGAGAGATGTCTATTCCCCACACAGGACTAGGGCTGTAGAGCAGCCCAAGATGGAGAAGCTGGATGGCAGACATGTCACACAGAGCTACTGACAGAGGGAAAGAGGCCCCCTGGGCTCAGGGGTCAGGCCTACGGGACTTAGCAAGGGCACAGCACTGGTGCAGAGGAAGGTCCAGGTGCAGGAAGTGGCAGGGCAGGCTGGGCATGGCCTGGCTCCAGCTTGCCTCCCCACCTACCTGCAGATCCCTGGGTATGGCCTGGAAGGGGAGATGTCCGTGGTGGAGCTGCGAGAGCGGCTGGCCCTGCTCAAGGATGCCCAGCGGCGCGCAGAGGAAGACAAGCGGGACCAGATCATTCAGGACAAGCGCTCCAAGAGCCAGGAACTGCAGAACGTGGTGGAGCAGATCTCACTGTGCCGGGCGGCCATGGGCAGGTCTGCGGCCTTAAGGTCAGTACCAGCTTACCCAGGAGCAGGGACCTAGGGGGCATGGATCAGCAAGCCTGCCCTGGCACACTCCTGGGTGCCTTCTCTTCTGAACAGCCCACACCCTCCTGCCAAGCAGCCCCCTTGTGCTAATCCCTTCCTCCTCCTTTTATTAAACAGTTTTTAGGCTATGGGAATGGTGGGAAACCAGGCAGCCAGGGCTCAGATTCCCGTGACCGAGGTGCTGTCATTCTGCATCCAGGTCACGGGTATGACCTTTGCTGAGTGCTTCATCTGGCTAGCTAGCAACTGATCTGTCTTTGCACAACCATTTGGAAGTAGTTGCAGGCTTCAGATGCTTCTTACCTAAAGACTTCAGGGTGCATCTTCCGAAAAAAAAAAGACATTATCTTACATAACTGCAGCACAATGACATGACTAGAAAACTTAACAAAAATTCCCAACATCATCTAAATATCCTGTCCACGTTTGCATTTCTCCAGGGGTCCCAAGACTGTTTGCCATAACTTTTTATTGATATAACTTTTTTCCTTTTTAAACCAGGACCCAGTTGAGACTCACACAGGCATTTGATTGCCAAGCATCTCTACTCTCTTCGTGGAGAGCACATACTCACACCCCCTTTTTGGTTTTTGTTTCGGGACCACCATGGTGGCTTTTCCAGCCCCATGTGGCCATTCCATGGCCACTCAGTCAGGCGCAGGTCGGTGTCACCCCCAGAGTCAGGCTGGCCTTAGGGCCCTGGCCCCATCCCAGGAAAGACAAGGTTGCCCCAGGGGAGGTGGTGCCCATCCCTGTCACAGTATACCTGGCTCAGGGTCTGGCAACCAGAGCTCCAGAGATGGTGTCTAAGTGAGATGGGATGGCAGCATGGACAGAAGGAAGGACAGACACAAAACCCATCACTATTGGTCCTGAGTGGCTGCTGCTCTTGTTGTGATTCAGGAGGCCAGGGACAACTGCAGGGGGCTGCCCAGGGAGGGATGGCTGACC